CCTTAGACATTTTAGAAAGTTGCTGACAGGGGTATGGTTGCTACACAGATACTGCATCAAGAGCTGGAAATGGAACAACTTTGGGTGCTTTGTCAATACCTGGCAGACAGACCTGCATGTATTCCAGGGTGACCAGTTAGTCACTGGTATTTTTTTTTTCATATGGATTTGTAAAATTTATAACCACCCTGCTTTACATCGGTTTTCTGTTCCCAGGCTAGCTTGATGCTTACTCATCTCCAAGATAGCTGAGCCACACATTCCTGCTTCCTCCTTCTGTGCTGAAAAACGCAGTCCGGTCGGACCTCATTGGAGCATTGGTATGGCTTTTAAATTGAACTTGATATGTCCAGGTTTGCGAATGTATTCTGCACCTAATAAAGTTTGCCTTACTTTTATTTTAACCTCAATTTTGACTCCTGGAGCACAATTCTGATAAGTGAGATTGGGTCCGAAGATGCGTAATGTGAGTGTGGAGTATGAATTAGCCCTAGAACAGAGACGGAAGGACTTCCAGCCACTTAGTGATTGAATATGGGTGAGCCACCTCACAAGCTGATATGGACAAAGATACTTCAAAAAGTTTGTGGGAAAAAAATAACAGAATTAGAATATAGGTTTATGTTGATGCAAAAAATATGAAATACAAACACATGCCTCTCCATGAGTTTTTTTTAAAGATTCCTCCTAATTGCCCTAAAACACTTCCCAATACCCCTAAATTTATCCTGGGCTATTATAAGATATTAGTACATCCCAGAGAGAGAAGGAAAAAGTCTACTTCAAGACAAATTATCCTGTCTATATAAAAAGTTACAGACTTGGACCACGCTATTTTAGGAGTAGGTGACTAGAATCAGGATATTATGCCACAGGGAAAAAAGGGGCTGAACGAGACAGATTAGTGGATAGGTGCACTCAGCTGGAGTTGAGATGTAATGTGTTGGGCCGAGTACATGCAAGAGATGTTATTAGCAGGCACAGTCAGTTAGCACTTGGTATCTAACGGGGCTAATGACAAAAATAGAATATGAAATCGATTCCATTTCCCCTAACATTCTCTGCAAGAGCGGATACATCCTTCATCAAGGCACCAGCAAATGTATTTTTTGGAGACTTGCATTAGCATCCTTAGAAATCTTCCGTCCTTAGAAATTCTGGAGACTGTTGATGACAGTGGGAGTACAATCACTCAGCCAAGTTATTTTTTCAGTGGCAATAATAGGGCCCCAAGATAATAAAGGCCAGGGAAGTCATAGTCAGGGTGGTCACAGTTACCATGGAAAACTTCAGAAATCTGTGCCAAAAAGCAAATCATTAAGTTCATAGTAAAGGGTTATACAGACAACTTGACATCTGCAACTGGAAAGAATCTGCATCGGGCGTGAAATGGCTTACCTCGAGTTATCACAAGAGGGATTAAACACCTAAGCCACTTCCCAGGCCCAAGGAGGTTCTGAGCTTTGTTGGGTCTTGACTGAAAGAAGGCCAAGTGCCCCTGACAATAAAAACATTTCTGCAATACACAGCCATGAATGCATTTAGTACGCCTCCCATCAACCTTTCCCAGAGGGACATAAAGTCATTCATCAGGCAACTTTGGCATCAGTTTTAAAAAAGAAGATAGTCCAGGTGAGGTGAACACTAGATGAAGGTTTTGAATATTCCTTGATCCTCAGAGACTCAAAATATCCCCTCCTCCATGAGACACAGCAGGGGCTTGTGGGGGTCAAATGAAGAGATATATTCTCACAGCTGATCTGCTGGAAGAGTAAACCCATCCTCTGCTTATTTCCCCTACTTCAAGATGAGCTCTGAGCTATCTAAAACTACCCGACCTTTGTTCCCTGGTAAGTCAGGAAGTTGTCCACTCTCAGCTCGATAGAGCAACAGAAGAGATGCAACATCCTGACAGGGATTTCAGAGAGTAGTTCCAATGAATCATTCAACACTCCATGCAAAATGACAAACTACACTTTATACTAATTACCAACAAAAGAGCAAACTACAATGTGTGGTGGTCCCTTTCTCATTTACTGGTGACATCTAGCACATTGGACCACTTGTCCTGGCCCACGACCAGGCTTTCTTGAAAGATCACAAGATTTGAAGAAATCATGTTGAGCAAATGCTCCTGAGCAGAATCACGTCCCTGGCTAAGCCTCCCAGGAGTCCAGTATAGTTGAAAGCATCCAGAGTGTGTGTGGCAGGCACAGACACTGCAAGGAGGTTTTCCTGACCCTCAGCAAAACAATCACAGAGCAGTTCTCGGAATGCTGGTGAAGTCCTCCTGGTTCTGGCTGTGGATCTCCTTTAAAATATGCTTGGGGGTTGGTAATAGGATACAGCAAGGAAAGGCAGCATCTACAACACTAGCAGCATTTATGAGAGTGCCAGACTGAGCCCATAAGCTCTGCTTCTAATCCACCCTCCCGCTAACATACCTAGAAAGATACCCAATGATAGCCAATGTACTTGTACCCTGCCACCCATGTGGGAAACACAAATTGGAATTCCTGGCCTCTGACTTCAGCCTAGCCTGGGTCTGGTTGCAGTCATTTAGAGAGAGAAAGAATCAGGAGATGAAGTATCTCCCTTTCTGCTTCTCTGCCACTCTACTGAGAGAGAGAAGGAAGGAAAGAAGAAAGAAGGAAGGAAGGAAGGAGGAAAGGAAGGAAGAAGAAGGGAAGGGAAGGGAAGGAGATCTTAAAAAAAATAATAATAGCTGCTCACAGCTGGTACATGGCCCTGGAACAGAGGAAGGATCTGACTGGGAAGTGGAGTAGTGGCCAAACCCCTGGATGGATAAAGCCAGAATGTTGTCTTATCCACAGAGTTGTCACAGGCGCATAGATATTCTGAAGTTGTTGCATCTGGGACGCTGAGTCTGCACAGGTCTGGGAAGTACTCAGGTGCTCCCATGGTAGTTTTGCCACCTCTCAGTGGCACTAAAAGGCTGTATGTATATTCACAGCAAAATTCCCTTTCAGCTACTGATTTGAGCTCATCTGCCTTCAGCCAGAGAAAGTCTGAGTCAAGGCCCCACTGAGGGTTAGTGTAAAACTAGTCACCCTCATGGGATTATTTTCCTCAGCCACATTCAGGTGCTTGGGTTCAGGAGCAGAAAGGAGGAAAGGAGAGAGACTCATGGATTTCACGGGCCAGCTGAGAGAAATATTTTAGATGACAATCGAAGTAAATGACTGCAAGTGTTGGTAGTGTCAGAGAAGCCTGGTTGGAATGACCCACTGAAAGTGCAGCACTGTGGATTCTGCTCAGGGTGTGCTACACAGAAGTAGAGGGAAGATGGAGAAACCAAATAAGTGCAAAGAACGATGAGGCTCAGGGCCAGCAGAATGAAAGGAGTGGGAAAACAGGCAGAGGGAGAAATGATTGAGAAGCTGACCAATTTCAAGGATGAGCAAAAGGCCCAAGGACTCAGAAGAAGTTACAGTTTGGGCGTTCTAGGAAGAAAATGTGGAAGGGAGACAAGACAGATGTGAACAGGAAGCAACAGTTAAGCATAAGGAAGACATGAATGCTACCTCTAGGCATGAACAGAGGACACAACGCCTTGGAGTGAAGGGCTTTAGAGCAGGCGAGGTATAGATGGAGAAGAGACGGACTGGTTGGAATGGCCCTTTTCTGCACAGACAGAAGGCTCTTCCTAACCACAAGGTCAGGTGCACACGGGAATCCACAAGTTACTGCCCAAGACGACATTTAAACCTGAAAACAGGATCACAGGTTGCATTTGCTGTCAATAAATTTAAATGTGGCTTCTGAATCCAGAGGTCACAATTTCATAAAATCTCCAATTTTTCCTGAATTAGAAGCAGGAAAGCATTTACAAACACACATAGAGAGGGTACACCATCACTGATGGTGCCAGTGAGAGAAATGAGATGAGAAAGATCTCCTACTTTTCAGTTCTTTGTGCCCTGAGCATCTTAAGCTTCCTGATGTCAGATTCTTTGCACAACGATCAGTCTGATCTGAGGACCCAGCCATCCTTTTTTATCTCAAAATATGAACAAGTAGATGATGGAAACTTGAGCAGAAGTTCCTCCTACCGAGTACAACCTTGATGAGGCAGAGCACACAGGATGCTGGCTGAAGCACCAGGCTTCTTTTGGCACTTTGTTCTCATTATCCTGACCTCACATGGATGCTCACAAAAGAACTGCATTTAATAAACACCGATGGAGCTTCCTGACTCCCCAAACAGAGAAGTGCTGAATGGATTGGCCACAGTTCTGCGTTATTGATGGAAATAGCACGCTTCAGTTCCTAAGTGGAAAATTATTACTATAGGCTGCTAAACACCATTTAAACCATGCTGGTGATCTTCTACAAGCCAAATCTTTGGACCTCTAATTAATAACTTTGAAACTGCAGTGAAAAATCTAAATGGGTAAAATGCAATTTTATATAATGTAAACTACAGAAAGATTACAAAAGTAATAAATCCAAAAGCTTTAGTCAAGGAACAGTTTGTTTTTAATACACAAAATATTTCCTTAAAAATGGCATACTGTCTCCTAGAAAGAGTGTATATTTGCTTGGGGGGTGTGTTACAAGTTGAATACTAATTATTTTAACAGAAAAGAGATCACATGCAGAATAATTGGATATGTGTTAGCCTCAGGAAAAGGGACAATTAAGGAGCACAAGCTATTTGGAATAGAATTGTGTCTTTTCTTACATAGTAAAACAAGGTGGGCTTTTGATCACACTTTCCTGTAAGGGACTCTTTGGAAAGTTATCTTTCATTTCCAAGGTTTTCTTCTTGGGAAGAAGTCTCTCCCACAGGAAGCCATGCTTTACCAGCATTCAACTGGATAAGCAGGAAGCCCAGGGTCTCCTCCAGGGTGTTCCCAATGTGCAGAATCCCCATGATAAGCACCATTATTTTCTCCAAAGAGAGGTCTTGGAGAGGTCCGTTGACCAGTATTGGTGATGGATCAAACTTCCCTTGGTCTTCAGATGATGGCTGTCTATTAATTCCATCCCACCACAACATGAGCCACAAGGAGATAGCACATCCCGACGATGCAGGACACCATCATCATTGGGAAACCCAACCTGAAATGCAAAGACAAATGGGTTAGGGCCCCTGGCATTGGGGAACACCATGAGAAACAGATTTACTGCTATTATATCCCATTATTGCAAATGAATATGACCTGAGGATCCTTGTACATCCGTACAAAATTTATTACCTTTTGTGTCTAGAAATCAAAAAAAATCCAGTTTAGATCACATTGTACAGATGCATGTCTCTATTAAATAACCAACCGTTATGTGTAATTTTTGGAGATCTGCTTCAACCTTTTTTTCACAGTTTTAATTAATAGGAGTATGTTCATCTGTTATGTCAAAGCATTTGAAACCCCTGACTCTACCCTCCTACCATGTCATCCCCAGCTAGCCTTCTCAAGATTTCCCAGAGATGTCATGTCACCAAGAGGTTTCTAAAGTTCCTCACCCTTAAAGTCTGGGGGAGCTTGAAAGCTAGGTTTGGAAAATGAGGCCAAGGAAGGGAAGAGGGAGAGTACAGTTTTCCTCCATCTTAAAGGAGGCATGAGTTGTGTAGATATACACAAATACAGAAACAGCTGTGGGGAGGCAATTGACATGGTGGCTAGAATGTCATTTGGAATGCTCACATTCTGTATTACAGTATCTAGGTTCAAGTCCTACCCTCTAAATCTGGCTTCCTGCTACCACAAGCTCTGAGAGATAGCAGACGGTGGTTCAAGCAACTGGGAGCCTGCCACCCTGATGGGCAACCTAGACAGAGTTCTGTGCTCCTAGCTTAGGCCTGGCTCAGCTGTTACTGGCATTTTCAGAGTGAGCCAGTAGATAGAAGATCTTTCTCCATCTCTCTTTCTATCTACTTTTCTCTCTCTAACTCTCTCTCTCTCTCGTTGTGTTTATATCTATTTCTATCTCTTCCTTTCAAACAAAATGAAAATACAATAAATCACACTTGTAAGATGAGTTTCCCTCACTGTGTGCCTTTCCCAACATGAATTCTTCTTTGTTTTAGACTAATTTATTTTCTATTTGAAACAGATTTACAGGGAGAAGAGGCAGAGAGAGAGAGATCTCCCATCCCCAAATGTCAGCTATGCCAAAAACTGAGCTGATTCAAAGCTAGAAGCCAGGAACTTCCACTTGGACAGAGGGAGCTCAAGGAGCTAGCTCATCCTCTGCTGCCTCCCCAGGCCATAAATAGGGAGATGATTGAAAGAGGAACAGCCAGGACACAAACTGGCACCCATTCGGGATGTTGGCACTGCAAGCAGAGGGTTAGCTTGCTATGCCAAGGGGCCAACTCCCCAGTACAAATTCCTACCATGACTTGCATATACCAGTATATTCCCCCTTTGGATTGTAGAATGCATATTCCATTTCATTCACTTGGTATTGCTTTATAACTAAACAAAGTCCCTGAAAAGATTACAGTTTTGACTCCAAATGGCTTAAAAACCCATCAGCAAGAGCCTATTGGGTGATAATTATATTGTGGATATTGGAAGAAACTACTCAGAAACAGCCATAACAAGGTGTTCTCTACAAAACTACGATCAGATACCGAACTGCATCTATGAATAAAACAGCTCCATAAACTCTAGAGCAAGCATTTCAAGATGATAATATAGAATTTTATGATTTCTCACTTGAACACATATTTGTACATGAAAAGGTGAAAAGAATCCACAATAAATTTCAGGAAAATCATTTAAATTTCTTAGGATTATCAACATCATTTCTGAAAATATTTGCCCAATGTCAGCCCTGATCATTACATTCCAGGAAAAAGCAAAACCAGGGGAGTATCTGGTCAACCGGAGGTGTCAGACAGCATTGCAAGCCTTCATAGAGAGTCAAAGCCTCCTTCCATTGTGCTATACCTCATCCACTGAGTCTCACCTCACTGAGACACACTCCGTGGACTAAGTCGATATCAGGGGAAATGCTAAACAGCTCAACACAGTGTTTCCCAGGCAAACCTCTTGGAGTGTCCAAGTCTAGAAGCAGCTTATGGATGCCACCGGTGTCTCAGGGATGACACCAATCCCAGGAAGGAGCATGTCCAGGTATTCAGATGCCATCTGAATCACTCTATCATGTCACTGACAATAGGTGGACACTGGAAAGGCCTCCGCACACATGACTCCAACAACTGGACATACCACCTTCTGAGACTGACATGTGCACTTTTACTTTGCAAATAGGATTTGAAGAAGGAAGCATACTTGCCTAGACCTCTTGACTAGTTTGCTGTGGTATAATAACCCAAACCCCATCAGTTCCATGCTACACTGCTAAATTAGTAATTCTTACATACTTGTTTGTGGATATGGGTATTGACACACTATCGATGTGGTGGGCAATTGATGCAGCAGTTAAGTCATTGCATAGAGATGTGCATCTCATATGACTGCGTTTCAAGTTCCAGCATGTCTGGAATGTGAAGCCAGTTTCTTGCTAATTCATATTCTTAGAGGCAGAAAATGACAGTTGAAGTGCTTGGGTCCCTGACATCCATGCGAGAAACCCAGATCGAGCTCCTAGCTCCTGGCTTCAGTGTGCTCCAGGAGTGAATCGGTAATGTATTAAGGGCCATATAGACAGAGACCCGCATGCTATGCATCATTTTCCTAACACAGCAAGCCAGATCATTTAATCCCCATTACACAAATTAGAAAACTGAAGCTGGAAGATGTTAAGACCCTTTACAAAGACCACAGCCTGCATGAGGTAAATGGTACATTTTTTGGCTCCCAACCCCGTATGCAATCCCCCAATAGAATATCAGAATCATTGTTCAAGCCAGGCTAAGGCCAACACTGCCTGGGATCTCCTCACTGAAGAGCCTCACAAGATGCAAACTCCAAGTTAGTGAGAGGAAAGAGAGACAGGAAAACAGCATTAGGACGCTTATTAAAGGCCAGCTCTAGTCATTTTTGATCCTGCCTTCACCATCTTCTAGATAATCCAACCAAATAACCACATGCTCCAAGATATTCACACATACTATACATAAGATGGCTGAAAGAGATCTTCACACCTAAGGATATACAAAGTAAGTTTCCATGAAAGAAAAACAGGAAGCTTCCGGTCCAAAGTATATTCATCTACACAGATTGTGCCCTTTTGGTAGATGAGCCAGCAAACGATAGTCCTTAGGGCAAATCCAACTTGCTGGTGGCTTATGTAGCCAAAGTTCTATTAGACCAAAGACATTTCCTTTCATTTATTTACGGCCTACAGTAGCTAGCACAGCAAAGCCTCTGACCCTGTACAGACGATGCTCTCTGCTCCTTAAGCATCACATCCTAGGGGAAGCAGAAGGAACATGCCTTTTCACTGGTAAAACATGAGCCTCATCCTGCCAACAGAAACACGGTGAGAGCCACGACCAGGATACTTCAAATGGGTTTTTAAAAATTCATGCACAGCTTTTCATTTTGCAAATTTTTTCATTAAATTTTTGAAGTCGGCTCCTAGGTACAGATTTCAAAAATGTTTTGAGCCAAAATGAGCTCATCTTTATTTACAATTTTCCATGACCATCTGAAATACACTAATATGTAATCTTAAATATTTTGGTACAATATTTTTAAAAATATAATCAGAAACAGGCAAAAGAAGTTTAATAACATATTTTAACGCAAAATACTCAAGATCATATTTGCCACATTAAAAACATAAAATTTCAAGGGAATGTTTCATGTATTTTAAATACCAGGTCTTTTTAAGTCAGGGTGGTTTTCTATTTACAATGCACCTCAGTTGGAACTTGCCACATTTCAAGGCTCAGTAGCCATGGGGGCTGGTAGCCACCATATTGGGCAGCAGTACAGCTCGGGGAGGGAACGCTTTGCAGCCACAGAAGCATTTGTAAAGGCAGGTTGGTGGCTGTGAGTTGTTGCATGGGGAGCTGGCCCTGGATGCTGCCTCAAGGTGGATGTCCCAGTTAACAAAGCATCTGAAGAGAACTTAACAGACCAGAGCAGGCAGCAGTAGTTCAGTGGCCCTGATCCACAGGCCCCTGGCCTCCATGCAAAGGAGCTCAATGCAATGGCCTTCTTAGTTTGTAGGCATTGGGGGAGGGAGAAATCCTTAATCATTAGTCTGGATCAGGCCAAGTGATCATGTTGTTTATTGGGCTGTGTGAGAGCAGCATCATTGAAAGTGCTGAGAACACCTGAGCCTTTCCGGAGTGAATTTGAGGCCAGCGGCATGCTCTTTCTAGTAGAACTTCAAAGGCTGCCGTGCGCCTCCTTGGGCCAAGTTCCTGCTGCCTTCTCCTCTGAGAGAGAGCCATAGCTTGATTGGCATTTCATTGCTTTCCTCAATTCCCAGCTGGGAACCAGCTCCAAGGAGATTTCCTCAAGGGGAGGAAGTAATGACTTCCTGGTTGCTGCCAGCAGGACTCCAAATACCCAGGACATTGATGCTCCAAGTTCACCATGGATAGCTCCATTTCCCAGAAGATCCATTTGTCTTGCTCCCCAAGCCTCTCAGCCAAGCAACACCTTCACCAAAAGGCTTAGCAAAACGTGTTTGCTCAACACCCAGCATCACACTAGGCTGTGCTTTCCCTTCAGTGTTATTTTCAATCCATTTGGGCTCTAACCTCGCACTGTGATACAAAAGACAAAAACACCTGAATGTCAAGGCACAAGTCGAGATGCAAAATGTCAGATGGAAGCCCAGACAGACCCAGCAGTACATGTATTTAGTTTTAAGTTAAAAATATGCCTGTGCTGGCACGGAGTTCTGTGAGAAACCAAAGCTGGCAGATTTCTGGGAAGTGGGTTGTCCTAGCACCCTGCCTGGACCATTTCCAACAAAGCTTGGCAAATGGGAGACGGAGCTGGTTTTCAATAGGAAAGATTTGCTAATGACGTCTTCATCTTTTTTTCACACTAAAATCATTCTTCCTGTTTGTTTTTCTTCCTCCCTCAAAGGCTTCAGCATACACCAAAGCTACAGCTCTGATTCCAAAAGCCATTTTGCTATTGCTTTTCCGCGAAGTTAACCTGCTTGTGTTTCTGGGTTGTCACAGG